ATTTGACAGCCCAAAGGCACAGCATCACAGCAGCCCCAAGTTACCTCAGTACAGCATATTGACAGAAGAGTGGTGTACCACTTAGAAGCATGTTCCTCCAAAATATAATAACAACCACCTTTAAATACCAATCCCCCCCCCAAGGACATGTTGACGCTAAACAAGAGCCTTAAATAAAAAAAAAATAAATAAACCAATATATTATGGTGTTGTTATGTGTCATTGAGTTGCCTGCAATGTGTAGGAACACTATGCACAGCAGCTCTGAACCCTTCCCTGTCCTGAGCCAGTCTCACCAATTCTGACACACCAACCCCCATCGCCCCAGTTACTGTATCAATCCATCTCATCCAGGGTCTTCCTCTCCTGCACTGTCCCTTCACCCTTCTGATTATGATGTCCTTCTCCAAGAACCAGTTTCTTTTGGCCATATGCCCACAGTATGTGAGGCTGGGCTTCAAAATCCTAGCCTCCAAAAAGAAACTTGGTTTCACCCTCTTCAAGACAGAACTGTATGTTTTCTTGGCAGTCCATGGTATGTTCAAGACTCTTCTCCAGCACCACAACTTGAAGACATCTATTCTTGTTTTGTCATCCTTAGTCATTGTCCAGCTCTCTGAAACAGAACAAGTAATTGAGAAGACCATGGCGTGGATTAAGCACCTTTCTCTCTAGACTGACATCATTGATCCTCAGCACTCTGGAGAGGTCCTTGACAACAAACTTTCCCAATGTAATTTGTGTTTTGATTTCCTGACTCCTGGTGTTAAGAGGGTTAATTGTGGAGCCGAACAAGCTGTAAATGCTAACAACCTCAGTCTCTTCTCTGTCTATCATGGTGCTGCCAATTGGCCCAGTGCTGAGAATCTTTGCCTTCTTGATGTTGAACTTCAATCCGTATTGAAGACTACAGTCCTTGACCTTTAGCATCAAGCACTTCAGGTCTTCTTATGGTACAGCTAGCAAAGTTGTGACATGTGTATATCATAGATTGTTGATGAATCTTCATCCAATCTTGATGCCACACTCCTCCTCATAAAGCTCTTCTTCCAGAATGATCTGTTCTACATAGAGATTGAAAAGGTATGGGGACAGGATGCATCCCTAATGCACTCCATTCCTGAATTTGAACCATGCAGTGTTCTCTTGCTCTGTTCCGAGGACTGCTTCTTGGTCCAAGTACTAAACCAAATTTAAAGGAAATGTTGAAATGTTTGAAACATTCTGTCAAATCTGAAGGTTTGTCATAAGACCTCTTGGAACACTCACTGTCTTAGGTCTTTAAACATTCTGTTCTCAATTTTCACTCAGATCCCTGTTTTATTGCTGGCTTGGAAACATCTATAATTTTCAGAATTAAATCATTTGATATTACAAGTGGTGAAATCTGAGGAAGCTTTTAGTCTTGCTGGCAGTTTTATACAAATAATACCATTGTGGTTTTGATAGTATACTATAATTACATAAAATATTACCATTCAGGGAGAAGACTGGGTGAAAGATATATAGTACTCTACTATTTTTGCAATTTACTGAATCTATAGTTGTTTGTGTTTTTTATATAGTTCTTTTTTTTAAGCTTAAAAACTTGATCAGAAGGATTATTTAGGAGGGGATAGTTCAACCAGAGTCCTGGAGCAGTGCACAGAATGCCTGTATGGCATGAATTTCTGTTTGTCTTACCTTTAAATTTAAAAAAGAACTTTTCTTTCCGTGCTCTTGAATTCTATATACTCCACTCTTAACATCTACCTACTGTGATGCTGTTAAAAGTTTCAGAAAGAACATATAGACAATGGCAAGTAGATTTGGGCGCCCTCTCAGGAAATCTATTTTAGCTGCTGCTTCTTTATTACTTAACAGGAAAGTCGTGCTAAAATACCAGAGTTCAGTCTGCAGTCACCTGGTGCAGGATAAGATGTGTGAATGACTTGGCATCTTCTCCTGAAGCATTTTCATGCCTCAGCCATTTTACAGTTGGGTCTTGATATCTTTATTATGCAGCTGGGTGTCCAAATCAGAGTGTCCCTTCATAGCCCAGTGAGAGAACACTGTGTGACGATATTCTGCAGGGGTAAAGACAAAGGGTTAAAAATACCTATATGAAGGAGCAAAGGGAATCTGTGTGGAAACCCTTGTGTGGAAAGTCAAAATTGGAACGATGATCATGAAATATGGCTTTATGTTCCCTTAGATTTGATAATGTGCTGGCTTTGATAATTTGATAATTACTGACTTGTACTTGGATAAAATTGATAGTAGTTTTACTCAATATCACTTACAAGACAGTCAACAGAATTCCCTGGGCCCACCTATCAATCTACTTTGTGATAACAAAATGTTCAGGCTACATTAACCTGAAAAGTAATTGCTCTACTAATTTTGACTAGAATTGATTATTGATGTTGATCACGTCTATCAGACATCCGTGAAGGTGGTGAACTTAATAGCATTGTCTTCAATGTACTCTGAGAAGCCCTAGTAGTACTGTGGTTCAGTGCTCAGCTCATAACCAAAAGGTTGGTGGTACAAACCCACTTATCTACTCCTCAGACGAAAGATGTGGTTAAAGATTACAGCCTTGGGAGCCCCATGGGGTAATTCTGCTCTGGACTAAAGGGTAGCTGTGAGTCAGAAACAACTTGATTGCTTTGAGTTTTAATAATAAAATTCCATTTTTAAAAATAAAACTCAGTTTATTCAGAGAATATAAAATACCCAGACCATTTCTTGATTTTTTTGTTATAAAGTAGGGTTCAGTATTAAGCTGTAAACTACTTGCTAAAAGGTTGACAGCTATACCCCACATACTTGGGGTTACCATGGGTTGATTTGGCTCAAGACAGTGAACCACAGTTTTGTGGAGACTGCCTTGTCTGACCTTTGAAACAGGCCATGAGCTGTCAGCTTTTCAAAATCACTCTGCCTGACCAGCTTTTCTGGTTTCTTTTCCAGGGTAATCAATGCTGGAAAGAGCACACACAATGAAGACCAAGCCAGCTGTGAGGTGCTCACTGTCAAGAAGAAAGCAGGAGCCATTACCTCAACCCCAAACAGGAACTCGACTAAGAGACGGTCCTCCCTTCCCAATGGGGAAGGGCTGCAACTGAAGGAGAACTCGGTAAGACCCTGCTCCCGCCTTGGTTCTCAGGTGTGAGGACCAGCACACACTGGCCTCACTAAAATGCTAGAACTTAATCTAGGGTCTGTAATGCAAGGAAGAAAAGCTGTGTCCCAGAGTCTGTGGAGTGATGGGTCTCTACTCAGGTCCCTTTACACATTCTGTTCCCACCCAAGGTGGCATATAGGTGAAGAAGTGACAGTTACGATTTTAACCATTAAAGTAAACCAGGAGTCCTTGAGTCATGCAAACTGCTAACTCTCCCAGCTACTGACCACAAGGTGGGCGGTGCACATTTATCCAGAGCATCTTGAAAGTTCCTGTGCTCTGCTTCCAGAAACTCAGCTACTGAGAACTCTAGAGCCCAGCTGGATTTTTTTTCTGACACAAAAATGGTATCTGAATCTACTCAATGGCAACTGTCTGTTCTTAATACAACCTTTAATGCAAGAATTTGCATGTATTACTGTAGTATGTTAGTCCTTCAGATGCAACACAAAATGCCAATTCAAGTTTTTTGTGAAGAAAGTCCTCTTCTGTCAACTCAATTCTGACTCAAGACAACTCTCTGTAGGGTTTCAGAGGCTGTAAATCTTAACTAAAAAGCACTATAGCCCTATGGCGATCGGTTAGTTTTACTTGTTTTGAAGACTGAAGACAGTGTTGCTAGGTCTTGGTCATGATTTACCCAAAGATTCCTCTCAAAGAGGCAGAGTTACAGACCCTAAAGCTTGTTGTTGTTGTTGTTATGTGCCATCGAGTCGTTTC